TTACTTAGCTATCTCTTTGGTCATTTTTGTATTTGAATACAATTAGATTTTGTTGGTTACTCCTGAGAAAACCAAAAAAATAAAGTACAATTGCGATCACTATGTTCACTTTGTAGGTAACTGTACAACGGACACTCCACTAATAAGTGATGTACTGTTAGATCACTATCACACGCGTAACACGAAGGTTTGGGTTGCTTCTGTAGTAGGAAATCATTTATGATCTTGGTGTGTCCTAATCGTGGTCTGGAGATGATAGCTTGATCTCTTCTTTTTATAGGTAGCCCCCATGGTAGGACAGTTTGTTTTATGGATGTAATACAAGGGCAGATACAACAATGAAATAGAGACTCTCTTCGGGAAAGGAAACATCGTAAGATACATAAAAGCCAATAGATTAAGATGGGCAGGCCACGTGGTACGGAGTGATGACGACAGACTGATTAGCAATGTGTTTTGGGAAAGACCAGATGGTAAAAGATCGACAGGAAGGCCTAGAAAAAGGTGGAAAGACGCTGTCAGGGAAGACCTGGAGAAGATGGAAGTAAGGCCATGGGAAATAATAGCACAGGATCGGAATCAATGGAAGGCAATAGTAAACGCGGCAAAAAACTCACGAAGAGTTGTAAAAGCCAATGATGATGATGAATACAAGGCATTCACCAGTCTCATCTTGATATTTTGAGAGATAGATCTGTCTTTCCATACTTAAGTTAGACGACTCATCGCATTTTTTGCCATACCAATGCACTGCTACCAAAAAATAAGGAAAGGTAAAGCAGTTGGACCATCAGAGCAAAATTGAAATGAATATAATAAAACGGAGGCAGAAAACAAGCCGAATTAAGTATTTGTTTGTCTGAGGGGAGTCTTGACATATAATTTGATCATTTATGTTTTCCCTGATTTTAAATTATCTCTGTTTTCCATTAGCATGTTTGCAAAGTACTGTTACCATCTTTGGGCCGTTATTCGGTCATTCTTTCTTTCGGTAATTTTGAGCTCATATTTGACCTAGTTTCCATGTTTTATTCTTTTTAACTCTCCTCTGTTTTTTCTCATTTTTCTTTCACCGTTTAAGTAATTCTGTTATATATTTTCAACCCCACCTTATAAAGTGAAAGACATTGAAATACTATTACTGACTGTTTTGTTATATAATAAAAAAAATCGCCCATTGTTCTGTATCCTCCTGTAGAAAACATAATTATTTGATAAGTATAATTTAGACCAATACATTTATTTTTATATTTTAATTGTAGATATTTAGTACAAATAGTATCATTGTATAATTTGTGTTTACGTATTTTACAAAACAAATTGTTTATGTGCAAAAATGTGCAACATTTGTTATCTTTTTTCCTAACTTTAGACTGGAAGCACTAAAACGTTATCTATTGGCGTTCATGATAATTTTAGCAAAATGAGCTAATGAATGTTTACTATTTGATTCATTGTAAATATGCACGAATCCAATGTAGATGATTTACGGTGCTGTTGCAACTGTTTTAAAACCTACCTACGACAATTTTTTGCCTTAATTGATAAGAATATTTCACAGGATCAATATACGGGGCCATCGATAAGAATAATAATTAGAGTGGCGACTTAACGCTACTTTCTTATCAAATTAGGATAGAAAGAAAGATAGAAAGAAAGGCATTGCCTTTCTTTTATAGAAAATATCTAGCATAAAAGATATTGTATTAAAGTTCGAGTAAACGAAAACTTGTCTTGAAAAGTAGAATTAGAAAATGGTCTACCGCAGGAATCTGTAGTAAGTCCAACATTTTTAGGACTGTCGAACGTCTTGTAGCATTTCAGATCAAACGCTAGCAAAGCCATTTTGTATACGGACTTTCATATTATCCCGTGTTGTAAGTTCACCCTTGTATACTATATTCTTGATGCCTCTCTCTTGTCATTTCCCCATTTACTGATTATCGTGATTTCTTCCAATATTCCTAACAATTTTTCTCCATTGGTCTGAGAGCTTCGCAGAATGATTTTCCAGCTGAATTCTTAATTTGATCAGACCATCAAGTTGGTGATCGTCCTCTTGATCTTCTCCCCGGAACGTTTCCAAAAACAATTAATCTCTACAAACTATCGTCACCTCTGCGAACCACGTGACCAAAATTGCGAGTAAGTTGCAGACATATTGTGGACAGCCTTTTTTTTAACCTCAAGTTGGTTTAGAATGGAAACGTTTGTCTTATGAGCTGTCCAAGGTGTGCGCAGCATCCTTCTTCTAGCACCACATCTCAAAGGCGTTTGAGAACCACTGCCATCTCAAGGCTCACTACAAGAAACAACTCCTTGTGGATATTGTAAGTGAACCTAATGCTGACATTCCTTCAATTTTGAAAAACTTTAATATCAAAGATGCGACTAATAATGCTGCGTTTGCCTGGCAGCAAGTCAAGCTTACTACACTGATTAAATCGTGGAAGAATATTTGGCCCAACAACCCACTCTTTCCTATAGAAGTTAACAAAGAATCCAATGACCAACCTGTACAAGTTGTACTAGATACTGCCCTTCAAATTTGCAGCAATATGACTAATTCATCAGAATGAAGAGAAGCTTTACAAGAGTGGATTTTAGATGACAATCTCAATGCTGACTTAATAATGAAGAAATAATTAAAGAAATGACAGAATCTGATCAACACGTGACCCAGGAAGCACAATATGAAAAATTTTTCACCGTCAACTGTTATGATGCTATATCGGCTGCAAACATTTTGATAGAATAAAATGAATAGAATAGAAATATGCTTTATTGTCACTGAAAATTATTGAACAATTTTATGGACAAAGCTAAAAAATAAATCAGTCAAATAGTACAAAAAGTATAAAACAAAAACAAATATAATAAAAAAACAGAACAATACAATTTTAAATTAGTAAAATTATTGTATAACCTACATAATTTGTACAGACAACAACAAATGAGACAAATTGTAGCCACTGCTTGAGACACCCAAATGTAATTATAAACAATACTAATTTTGTTTCTTTGTTATACATTAAGAAACTCGTCAACTGAATAATATGGTCTTTCAGACAGATAGATTTTTGTCATCTTACGAAACTTAATGAAAGATGTTGCGGATTTAATTTCTCTTGGAAGGTGATTATAAAGTTTTTTTGCACTATATAGAATAGAATTCTTTACTAGCTGAGTGGACGGGATCGGCAAATAAACGTTACAATCCGAATTTCTAATGGAGTAGCCATGGTCAGGTCTATCGGGAAAAATGTTTAGATGCTTTCGAATCAAACAAAACCGTTTCCAAAATAAATAAAGAGGGAAGCGTCAAAATTCCGTGATTTTTGAAGTAGGTCTTGCAATGAGTTGTTTGTTTGAGACCAAATAGATAACGGATTGCTCTTTTTTGCAACTTAAAAATAGTATCAAATTGGGCCGCTGTACTAGAACCCCAAAATGGAAGCCCATATCGAAGATGGAACTCGAACAATGAGAAATATGCCATTTTGACACAATATTGCAAAGCAAGCTGAGGCTAGTTTCTTCCTTAAGGAGTCAGTATGCAAGGACCATTTGAGATCACTGTCAATAAGAATACCTAGAAATTTCACGGAATTTACGATACTGATTTGGCTCTCATTCAAAAGCAAGGGTTGTATGACTCCTTTATAAGATAATGCTACTGTCTTATCCACGTTAAAGCTAAGTAAGTTGGAGTCTGACCAAGCCTTGATTATAAGTAAATCAGCGGTTATAATTGAATGAAGCGTTGAGAATATCAGACCTGCTCCAAGTAATACTGGTATCATCAGCAAATAGAAAAATTTTCCCTTTAATTTTCAAGTAAGTGATGTCATTAATGAAAAGTAAAAAAGAATGGGACCTAATACTGAACCTTGCGGTACTTCACACTCAATATCTTTACAACTAGAGTCTGTGTCTTTTATTCTAACCAATTGTTTCCTACCTACCAAGTAAGTTTTGAACCAATTTAAAGACACACCCCCGAATTCCATAGAAAGTTAATTTTTTAATAGAATGTCGTGATTTACGCAGTCAAAGGCTTTGGAATAGTCGCAGAAAACGGTGGCGGAGGAAAGGTTACTATTTAGTGATAGATATACCTCATGTAACACAAAAAACATGGCATCACTAGTACATTTATTAGACAAAAAGCCGAACTGATTTTGCGATAAATATTATGTTTAAGAGAGAAAGGGCACAAGTCGAACTTTTATAAGTCCTTTCAATAATTTTTGATAGTGCTGGGTAACAAGGCAATAGGTCTATAGTTGCAGGCATCAGATTTTTCTCTACCTTTATGAAGAGGAATAACGATGGCAGTCTTTAGGCAGTTAGGGAATGTACCTTTTTTAAGGGATCCATTTACTAGCGAGACCATGACCTCCAAAACAGTATGCGGAAGATTTGAGAAAATTTTAATAGATAATCCATCTGTACTACAGGACGATGTGCTTTTTATACTACGAATTGTTCGAATGAGTTCAATCTTATCAACTGGTCTTAAAAAAAAGGTATCAGCAATGTTTTTTGAATTAGGTAGATAGGAAACTAGGATTTTGTTGTGGCGAAATAGTTGAGGTTATATTTTTACTAACATTAACAAAGTAATCATTTAGATTTTGGGGTTAGGAAAAGAAAAAGTTTGAGTAGCTGTACTGGTTTTATTTCGAAAATCGTTTATTATTGACCAAGTTTCTTTTGAAATATTTTTGGAGCTTGTTAAGCGATTAGTATACTGATGCTGATGCGTAGAATGGGTAGAAAATAACAATACATTAGAAACATTTTAGGAAATCATTTACATTTTTATTACCTTAAAAACCTAATATATATTACCTTTTACAAACTCTTCATATTTGTAAAACACATATTCAAAAATGCTTTAATATCATTAGGGCGTTACCCATAATAAAAGAAAGTCAGAATTTGGTGCACCCTAAAGGAAAGATCTATTTATAAATTATTATTATTTAATTTTCCAGTCGATTGTATATGTGTCCACCGCCTATTCAAATTGCACACAAAGCGAAGTAGAGGAAAGGCTGTACGATCCACCGATATCCTACGAGGAATCAATGGAGTTAGTAGAAAAGTTGTCACCTAAGGAATTAGAAAAATCTACGTCAAGGTAAGCGTTTCATTTATTTTTGTTAGTATTAAAGTCTTTTGCGTTGTCATACTTAGGGATTAAAACCCTAAATAAAAACTGAGTAAGAATAATTAAATTTTTCTAACAAAATTTAAAAATGGAAAATCGTTTGCTGGGATAATAGGGATAAGACACTATCATACCTTTTAAAGGTCAATAAATACCATGTGTGTCTCCATATTGTGTTCTAATCGCTTTTCTGTTGTTTATTTTGACAGAACACATTGTCTATACAAGAAAGACCAGTACGAAAGCCACTCTGATCTTCAGCGTCTTTCCAATAATCTTCAATTCCAATAATCTTCAATTTGGCTTTTCCATTATCTTTTTGTACATTCTACAAATTGAATTGGTTAGACTATTTCTATTCTGGAAGGTTTTCTCTTCACCCCTCAAGAATAAATTAAAGTCAAGAGCTAAAATGGTTTGTCAGTGTCATATTTATTTGAGTTCTATGGATACTTTCCTGTCCTGGAACTACTTCTCATTTTTGATGCAGGTTGTTTTTTAATTTAGTCTGGTGATATTTTAGTTTCTTCATGGTGGGAAATGTTATATTTTTTGTAACCAATATTTTGGAATTCTGCTCGATCTTCTGTCTGCATTTGTTCATAATATTTGACCCATATTTTGGGGATATTAAAGTTAACCTACTGCTTTCTTTTCTATCTATCCTACTACCTGTAATTGTTTCGCAGACTTCTTTACTATTTTCGGTACCCATAATTTTTTTTACGTTATTGCATGCTTTATTCCACATCTCATTTTTGACTTTATTTACCTCATTTTTACTTTTTGATTTAAACTGTTGTACTGTAACTGATCGTAAAGGTCCGTTTCAAAATCTTTTATTTCTTTATTCCACCATTTATTTCTAATATTTTATACTATCCACTTTTCCAATAGCTTTTACTGCAGCTTCGACAAGAGCTTTTATGATTTCGTTGTACGAACTAATTAACGAGAAGTAACCAACATTGTGTAATTTTCAAATTCAACAACATTCGATACAAAAAGTGGGTAGACCCATTTTTCAAAACCTTTGAGATTATATCTTTGTTGAAATGTCTTGCAATATCAATGAATTGTATGTATTGTCAATGTAAATAGTAGTGACGCTTTAAGTAAATGTTGATCAGATCCATAATTTGTTCTTCGATGAATTCTACCGTTAGTAACCTTTATTGTTGAAGTTTTCCTCGCATATATAGAAATATATTATTTCCAAATGTCTCGTTGGTTGGGTCCACGTGAATTTTGATAGTTCTTCTTCTTCTTTTTGCATCATAACCATGGATGGGTCTTTGCCTGTCTAGCTATGTCCTTCCATTCAGATCTCTCTTGGGCCCTTCTCCTCCATTGTCTTTATGTTGATGGTTTTCAGGTTGTCTTCCACGTCATCCAACAATCTCGTCTTACGCCTTCCTTTTTTCCGCCTTTTTAACCGGCTTACACTGTAACATCTTCTTTATCGTTTTTAGGTCTTTTGTCGCTGAACATGTCCCAGCCATGACAGTCTTTGACTTTTTTACAAATCTTACAATATCATACTACAATCGTCTTCTCCTGATTTCTCCATGTGCCGTCTTCCTCTTGCACCGGGATATATACTTTTCTCATAATATCTTTCTCTCGAATGTCCTGAGTTGGGCGTCCTCTTTTTTCGTCATAACCCAGCTTTCACAATCATAGGTTACTACGGGTCTAATCAAAGTTCTGTCATTTTGGTTCTTTTGTCTAATAATTTCGATGTCATCAATATTTTATTAGCATAGTATGTACGATTTTTACTGGAAATACGTGCATTAATTTCGCTACTTACGGAATTCTTCAAATTGATTTCTGTGCCCAGATATGTGAAGGCATTCAGACGTTTAATAGTATGGTTGTCTATTGCTATATTATTTTCATTCTCAGGTGTTCTTTTGATGTTCATGTACTTAGTTTTTTTTTTTCTTGTATTTTTTAAGCCCTCTTTTTCGTGCTTTAAGATCAATTTCTTGAACGTTTCCATTAGTTGTGTCTTGCTCATACTAATAATGATGACATCGTTTGCATATAAAAATTTGTACTTTTTTTTTTGTTTATATGGCCGGTTACATAGACTTGACTGCTTCAAGAACTAGGTTGAACAGCATGGTTGAAAGTGCGTCTCCCTGTCTCACGCCCATGTTGATGTTAAATAGGGGAGACAGTTCTCCATACACTCTAACTGCGGCTTTTGAACCCTGCAACGTCATTTTTATGAGGCTATATTTTTTTTGGTATACCTAATTTCAATATTGGTATACCTAGATTTGGTATACCTAGATACGGAGGTCTTCCAGTATTTTGTCTCTTTTCACACTATCAAAAGCTTGTTTAAAGTCTATATCGAATTTCGATAGTATCCATTCATTCCTTAATTTCCTTTTCTGAATCTGACTCATAGACTGTCCAGCAACTGCAACCATTTGGTCGAATTTGTCGTTGGAATTATTAGTTTGTCGTCTGACGGATTATGGATGTCACAGGTACAAAAGTTCCTACTTTTGTCTCTTTCTTGATGGTTACTGGATAGTCATTGACATTGATGTCTCACAGGTATTTCTTTATCCGAAGTCACCAATTCCTTTCCAATTATGATTCCTCGGCCAACCTCTCCGTCATGGCTCCAAGGCTCCATCATAACAGGTGTTCCTTCGTTCTTTCATATGATCGTAGAAGCTTATAAATCTTTCACAGGTTTTATTTATTTGTGGTTTTTAAAATGTACCGACCACCTTGCAGTTTACCTTTCTTGCGGTTCTAGCATTTTAGTCACCTAGCAGAATTAATGCCTTTCTAATGTCAATACTTTCGACGAAGTCCGGCAGTTCGTTGTAAAATTTATCCTTTACCTCATCCTTTTCATCTTCAGAAGGTGCATATGCATCCACTACCACTAAGTCACCTCTTTTTAGCTTCAAGTTTTACTAGTTTTTCATATATTTATTCCCAGTTCTTAATATTCTGAGACAGCCTTTTCTTTATCAGTATACTTACACCTTTTGCTGCTCTTCTATCTTTTCCTATGAACAAAATATTTAAACGCTTTAAACTTAATATTAAAACAATTATACGAGAAGCAAAATGTAATACTGGGAAGAATTTTACCAAGTAACTTGGTCAGAAGAATTGATGAGGCAAGAGGAATAAAAAAGATAAGAACGAGGAGACCAATGAATACAGCAAATATGCGAGATCGGAAAGAAAAAAAGGAAAATCGATAGAAAAAAAATTAAACATTTATCAAACTAGATTAATATATAGAAATACCTAAAAGCAGCTCAGTTGTTTTTTAAAGACCATAAGGAGAAGCTAAAAGAGAAAAGAGACTCTTATTCTAATTATCGTTTATAAATAATAAAAATAAATTATGAATCTAAAAAGTTTTAAAGAGATTAAATAGACTTGCAGTGCAATATCAGACGTAATAATTAATTGTTGCATAGAATTAACATACCCTCAAAAAATACGTCGTGACCTCAAACGTGTCGTCTATAATGAGCTAACGAAAGACAATAAGTACTTTAATTTGTTATTCCACGTGTCCAAGTAACATAAAAGAATGTTGTTTAAAAAAAATTACCATGTTACACGAGCTATTACAAAGTAAGCATGTTGTCGTATTGAAAATATAATTTTTATGTAAAAAAATTCTAAATTTTGTATTTGAACCATTTAACATATGTTTAAATTCCTAAGACTGATGTTCTTGCATATCATTAGATTTATTGATCTAATGTTAGTATAGTTTTACTTCTTTTAAATCAATTAATTTAAACACCAACTTGTTTGACCTGATTGTAAATCAAGAAAAAACCAAGTATATTGGAATGACAGTGGGAAGTGCAGAACAAATTAAATGGATCAATCTAAGGATAAATGAGAGGGAGTATAAGTTTGAAAAGGTAACAGAAATTGAGCACCTTGGGGTAACAGTTACAAATAGAGAAGGCGAAAAGAGAGAAATAGATAAACGGTTGTTGTAAGATAGCAAAGCAGTAGGATCATTAACCGCATTATTCAAGGCAAAAACGTGCCCAAGGCAACCAAGATTCTAACTTATGAAACAATAGTGAGGCCAAGGCTTTTGTAGGGATGTGAAATTTGAACGATGAACCAGAAAGAAATAAATAAAGAGATTTAAGGGAGGAAAATCTTAAGAAAAGTTGTTGGTGGTATAAAGGAGGCAAAAGGGGAATGTCGCAAAAGAAAAAATGCAAGAGGCGATGTTTAACAGACTTAAAATAACAAAGAGATGTAAACGGTTGGGATATTTTTTACCAATTTCAAAAAAATGAATCGTCTTTAGAGTTCTGCAAGCAGGAGAACAAGGGAAGAAAAGAAGAGAGAAATCACGAAGGGTTGGACTGGATATAACAAATAAAAGGACAGGAAAATTAAAGAAACTAGTCAACCATAGCGAAGCCAAGGCCTGCAGTGTTGTTATCCGTTAGCTCAACTGGATTTCTCTTAAATTATTAATTTAGTAAACTGTCAAATTACTTTTCCATTGCTTGTTGACATTATTTTCTTAAACTATAGACCAGGCGGTATATGTTTTGGGTTGGGTATATATGATCTAGTTTTTTGCTTTAATCGCTTTGAAATATCATTAGAAATGATAATTTAACTATGCGTTACTTCAAAAGGTGGCCTAAACTTTTTATTAAACAATTTGTGAAAAAAATGAGAAAAATTCGTTTTTCCCCTATTCGTTGCTACATTATCTTGGCAGCTATACAATTTACAAAAAAATGTTAATGCATTGCATTAGCTTAGAAATTATTCATTTGTTTAGAAAATTCCCTATTTACTCCTATTCAAATGATTTTAATGATTTGACTTTTATTTGACAGCTATTTTATACGTAAAAAACTAGATTGTATTTAAAACTTTTTTTTGTTTCCTCTACATAAGTTTGAAAATTAATAACTTGTTTTGCAAAGACTACTACGTCGACTGTATGGAATAGTAGCACAACATAAAAAACTGGTAATTTTTCAAAACAGAAGTTTAAAGTTGTGTGCCAATAATTTTGTCTCACTAGTTTTACTGCAGGGATTGGATTTTTAAATAAAATAATTTTGGTGTATTTGGTACAGCGTTAGGTAGCCTGTAATGAATTGTAACACAGACTTTTAAATTCAACCCTCATTTTGAATTGTGTCACTATTACACATCACCATTTTGTTTCAAAACTAATTAAGGCAAAGAGAAAACTGACATTTTTTTTTTATTCCTATCAACTGAAATAAAGAATACTACAAATTGCTTGAATGAGAAAATATGTTTATTAATAACTATAAGAAGAACGAAATAAAAAAAAAAGTAAATATTAATAATCATAGGAAAAATTCTAATTAACAACGATTTAAATGTCGGTAAAAAATCAGATTGAATTGGTGGAACACTCTTGTCTACACAGATATAATCATTGTACCGATCTGTCAATGTTTTACTACTAATTCGACAATAGTGGCTCTCCATTGTCGGAATTGAAGAAAGGTGTTTACGAACCCTGTTCATAGTTTCGTTACAAAATGTTTTATGCATGCTATGTTTACCTCTTTGATCGTTGCTTTTCAGAAGTCACGATTTACCACTTGCTACCAAATCTCTCTCATTAGATGCTATGTATTTTGTACGTTATTGTACGGAGTAAAGGCCTGGACACTTTCCGAAGCTTCTTTAAGAAAACTTGAGGCATGGGTGGATTTCATGGGTGGATCGTGTGACTAATGTTGAGGTCCTACGTAGAATAGGCAAGGAATGCGAGATTATTAACACCATCAAAGAGCGCAAACTAGAATATCTTGGCCATGTTATGAGGAATGAACAGAGATACGGCTTGTTGCAACTCATTACAGTTTAAAATTATCTAAAATTGTCTGCAATAGTGGCGCAACTCAAAAGTGCCGGTATGCATAGAAACTTAATATCGACACGGTTCAACTTCCACTGCAACTGCACAACTATAAAGGGCAAGAAATAATTTATCGCAACCATGACGTCACTAGTGTCACTATGCCTATGTCTCATAACGACACTAGTGACGTCTAGCGGACATTTTTGCTATTATTTTTGTTCCAGTTTTGCAGGTCATAATTAAGGCTTTTTCAATCCCTTTGGTAATGTTAACTAAATTTTGTTAATTTTTGAGTTAAGGAACTATTGCATACAGCCGACCACTTGATCAAGTGTGCTGAAATTTTGTATACCGTTCTTTCATATCTTTTTTCTTTTATATATTTTTTTAGATCGATTTTATGGGAATTTCTCAAACGTACCAAACGGAAAATCTAAACTGCTCTTTTCGGTGTTGCGTGAATCCGAAATTGGTAGGACGTTAGTTGTTGTTTTTCCCATTGTCTTTCCTTTTATGTCATTTACCATTAACCGTTACCTGTATTGTTTGTGTTAAAAAAAAGTTGGTATGAAGGGCATCTTACCGTGAAGCGTGTGTTCCTGTTCAATCCTTTTTGTATAGTCACCCAATAGTGTTTTCAATGGAAAGGTCAGGAAATGGAGTGAATTAACGAACAGTTAGGAAATTGTCATGAATTTAAAGGAACTGTAGGAGATTGTTGTTACGTATTCAACCAATTGTCTGGCTAAATATATATAAAAAAATTTAATTGTAAACCTTTTTGATTATTACAAAAATTTTCCTAAAATGTATAGCTGCCGAGATATAGCAACGAAACGGAGAAAAACATTGAATTTTTCTCTATTTTTTCTTTTTTTTTTCACAAATTATTTAATTATAAAACGAGCCCACCTTTTGAAGTGTACGAATAATTAAATTATCATTTTTAATAGTATTTTAAAGCGATTAAGGCAAAAAACTATGATCATATACGATTCACCCTAGTGAGGGTGTTTTAGAACAGATATCGCCTGAACTACTAGTATTTTATGATTTTTTCGATTTAGTGTGTACGTGCATATTACTAATTACTATTATCTCGGATAAATCTAATCTGTTTAAAATCTTTTGCCATCTTTGCTTTATGTTTGGCTATTTTATGTTTAGATTTTTAGAGACTACAAAGGGTTTTAAACGCTTTTTCTTTAGGTTAATAGGTAAATGGCCCAATACATACACTTTTACCAAATGTATAGCAGAATCATTAGTAAATAAGGAAGGAAATGAATTACCCATAGCTATCTTCAGACCTTCAATAGGTAAGTATAATCTAAAACTTTTTCCTCTGTGTAATCATGTTCGTTGATTTACAAAAAAAAACTATCATAGAGTACGTATATCTAATTACTGTATATTAAATACTAATACAAAGTCCAGTGCCATAAAGGGATGAATAGCTGAATTTAAACATTAACAAAAGGAATTTAACCTTATTCTTCCTGTAGTTCTTTCTCCTATTGGATTTTGGCTATCATCACAGCTATCCGTACCTTATTGGCGGCTACTCTGAAAAGATCTACTGATCTGCAACTATACCACTCTCTTAGGTTTCTCAGCCAGGAAAGTCTTCGTCTTACTATGGATCTTTTACCTTTGATTTTAACTTGCATTATGAGCCTTTAATTTGAATGAATTTAACTTAACAATAGGCATTTACTTGAGAATAAGAAAACTTTCAAGAAAAAGAAAAAGACAGCAAATATTTGATTTCACGCCAACAGCGCCTTTGTATCTATTAATACGTATTTCGACCTAATAGGTCTCATCAGAACAGTTATTCAAAGGTGTTCTCAACAGAGACAAAGACGCTGTTTGCGTGAAATCAAATATTTGCTGTCTTTTTCATTTTATTCGGATCTACTCTGTACGAGTACAAGAAACCAATTCGCTAAGGATTTCTGCTTAGTTGAAAAGACATGTCGTGGAATGCAAATTTTAGATTCCCCATGTCTCTTTTAACACCTTCATCAACGTCTGTTTTGCTTTGCAATTTTTAGAAAGCACAGATTAAAGCAGAAATCTGAATTGTGTTTCGAAACTATTTTACGGTTTTAAAACTTTCAAGCTTTCAACAAAACTTTCTGGCGAATTTATATCAAATATTAAGTCGTATTTCTTTATATAGATAGATAGATAGATGCACCTCCTTCTTATGGTGCCTATCCGTTACGGATGTTGGACACTAACATGGCTATTCTGACTTTGTTGACTACTGCCCTGAAAAGTTCGTTAGTGGTTAAGTTAAACCATTTTCGCAGGTTATGCAGCCAGGATATTATTCTCCGTCCTGGACCTCTTTTCCCATGCACTTTACCTTGAAATATGGTCCGAAGTAGGTCATATCGTTGTTCATTGCGCATTATATGGCCCAGGTATTCCAGTTTGCGACGTTTTATGGTTACGACTAGTTTGCGCTCTTTATCCATTCTATGTAGTACTTCTTCGTTGGTAACTCTGTCTATCCAGGAAATCCTCAACATACGTCTATAGCACCACATCTTAAATGCTTTGAGTCTCTTTAGTGATGCTTCAGTTAAGGTCCATGACTCCACGCCATATAAAAGAACGAAGAATACGTAGCATTTTAGTAAACGAACTTTTATTTCCAATTTTATATCGTGGCTGATAAAGATTTTTTTCATTTTGACGAAAGCTGATCTTGCCTTCTCGATATTTATCTTAATTTCCGTCGATTGGTCCCACTGTTCATTTAAGTTTGCACCCAGATAATAAAAGTTGGTGGTTTCTGTTATAGGTTGTTGGTTAACTAGTAATTGGCCAGGTGGTATCCTATTTTTGCTTATAACCATGTATTTGGTTTTTTTTGATGTTAAAATCAAGCCCAAACCTCCTACTTACTTCTGTTACCCTGGAGACAAGTGTCTGCAGACCCTGTCGCATACCTCTTTTTATCTTTATGTAGTCTGTTAACTGATCTCCAACTCTAAAAGCTGCAGTTTGTTCGTAATAGATATTGTTTATTATACGGCGATCTCTGCTGTCTAGACCAATTGAATTTAATAGTTTCATCAGTTCGTCATGTTTTATTCTATCGAACGCATGAATGCGAAATTAACAAAACACACATATATATCACAATTCACGTCTCTACATCTTTGAAAAGAACTTGTATTGCAAAAAGTGCCTCTCGAGTACTCAATGCATCCCTGAAACCGAATTGTGTGTTGGTCATGTGTTCTTCACACTTTTTTATATATTCTTTTATGTATTATTTTTAAAAAAGTTTTTAGAAGATAGCTCATAAGACTTATTATTCGATAATCTTTAAATTTTGTGGCATTGAGTTTGTTAGAGATTGTTATAAAAGTTGATCTTAGCCACTGTTAGGATATTTTTCGACTTTGATATATATTGTTGAAGATCAAGGTAAGTCTTTTTTCCGCAAATCGCCAGGAAATTTTGACATTCCTGTCAAAATTTCTTGAAGAAAAAGTCAGGACTTCCTTACTGTAAGGAAATGTCATTTCCTTACTGTAAGGAAATGATATTTCCGTACAGTTGTTAGTGTTCTACATAAATGATAGAAAACACATTGCTTATAAGGAATTAATTTATATTTTGAAAACATCAAGTCATTGCTGAATACATTTTTAAGATCAATTTGTTATATTTACAGTAATTTGACAGTTAGTACAATTATTGAACATTGGAGGGACACTCTTAGAACTATGAGAAACATTTTGGACAACATGCAGGGTGGAAGTGTCATTTTGTTGAATATTTTGTACTGTGAAAATTTTATTTGCCACCTCAACCTTATTGTTAAGCGATTCTTCGATATATCCTTCAGCAACGTTTGATGACTTCCATCCGCCATGCCTCTTTAAACTAGTTATGTCGGCACCAGAGTCAACCAATATTATTGCAGAAGACCGACGAAAGCAGTGACCAGTATATTCTGTCGGATTTACCAAGTTCAAATAAGTAGCAATTATTTTGGGCATTTTTCTAAATTGATGAATTCCTACCACTTGTCTACAACCCTTTCCGCTTTGATATTTAAAGAAAAATCGGTCACTGTTCATATTTTCTGGTCTTAACGAAACATACTTTCGATAAACATTCAAGTAGATCTGATTAATTACAAATGATCTTGGTTTGTTGGTTTTCGAATCAGGTATGCTGATTAAAAGCTTAGATTCTAAGTCTTCTATATCGTGTACAGTCATTCGGATTCGGATTCGGCATTGAATAACTCATCCATTCTACAGGCCCCAGAAATACCAAATATTACAGCAACCTAAAAAATAAAGCTATAATCTAAATAGAAATTAAAACCTTGTAAATTACCTTAATCATTAAATTTTCTTTATCTGGAGCTTCCTGGATAAATTTTTCAATTTCTTCCTTCGTTAAAATCTTAGATTTCTTTGCCCTATAACCTTAAGCTTGCCGTTTCAATAAAGAACGAAGTTTTGAGTATGAAGATATATCTACATTGTGTTTAAGTGCAAGGGTTGACTTCAGCATTGAATAATTGGCCCATAATGTTGAAGATTTCATCTTTAAACAAAGGTCTAGGAAGTATGCCATTACAACATTTTCTGAGAAAGAACTCGTATTTTTACTCATGCGATAATCCATAAAACGTCTGTATGCATTTTCGTACTTTTCTCTTGATTTCTTTGGCAATAATTCTAATGAAGCAGTATTCACTGCCTCAACCAGCTCTGGAGGAGTCCCAGGAATGGAAATTTCATCATCACTTATCATTTTACTTTCGAGAACACCAGCAATTAAATTTATAAGCGTCAAGTTTGACAATTCAACCTCAATACGTTTCCATAGTAACCCAAGTAATTTTATTAGGAATTTCAAAGCACCATTTATTTGGGAATAAAATTATCGCGTTTTTTTTAAATCAATCAATATCTGTCGAATTTTAAACGATTTGTGGAAAAATAGTATGTTTACCTCGTAGGAAAAGCCATATTCCTGGACTCTGTGTTGCTAAGTCTCGGCTTGCGCCTCGACTTAGCAATCTTCACAGTCGTCCAGGAATGTTAAGCTTTTCCTACCCGGTAAACAATGTACTATTACTTCGTCTTTATCCATAATTTTTTAAAATTCTGAGTAGAACTCGTCTGGTCTTGCGGCTTTTCCCTCCTTAATGTTGTTTATAGTAGCTTCTACTTCCGCTTCGAGAATAGGTGGTCCGGTATCGTCATTTTTATTTTGTGTGATGGTGACATTCCTATCGTCTTCAAATGTGGTCACATAGTTCATCCATGTTGTTTTTGTTTCTTCAATATCAACTATTGGATTTCCTTGGGCAGCTGTTAAGTGTCCCGACCTTTTTAATTTATAGATGCCTACTGCTTCTTTAATCTTTTTGTGGAGGTTGAAGGAATCGTGTTTACGTTCCAACATCTCGATTACTTTACACTGTTCTTCCAGATTTCTATTTTTAGCTTCTCTGACAGCTTTTTTATCTCTTTGTCTAGAAATTGATATGCAACGTAGTCTTTTCCGCTTGGATTCTCTTGGTTTATATTGGTCTAATATTTCCTTCCCAATGTTTTCTAACTGGTTTATTTCTGTGTCAATCACTTCTGACTTAGATTGTTGTTCTTCAGATATTCCCGTACTTCTTGCTTTATATCATCATCTCTTACTTGTTTGAAATCGTATCTTATAGGATTAGGTTTGTGGATTTTTTTAATTTCAGACGAAACTTAGCAACAAGTGGGTTATGGTCAGACTTCATATCTGCACCAGGGTAGGTTTTCACTGAAAATAGATGCACCACATGAAAAATACTGTTAAAAATATTCCATCTACAGAGAATTTTAGTATTTCTAAATTACCATTGCAATACAATAATTAACTGTCCGATTAAATTAAATGTTACAAAATCCAATTAAAAAATTGATTTTAATTCGACTTAATGCATGTGCATTTTATGAATTATCTTACAACATATTCAAAATTTAATATAATTTTCTTATTGTTTTAATAATTAAATTGTTGTAATAGTTTGTTATCTTCTGATTAAAACCATCATAAATGGTTTTGTAAATACGTTTTATGTTTATTTAACCAAAGAAGATTTTAGGAAATATCCCAGATATGACGATTTGATATGATATTAAGCAAACAATAAAAATATTACTAATAGGAATTATCACCGAAGTCAGCAAGTTAGCGTTGAACTATTTATTGATAGCATGCAAGATGTTCTCTGAAATCGTTTAAACGATTTCAGAGTTGAAGTTTAAACGAACTAAAATTTACCAGA